AAAATGGGAAGTCCAAGTGCATGATGCACACCTTAACTAACAAATCTCGTACTCTTCTTATTCATGTCTCGATTCCTCCTTCCTATTGGGCAGATTCTCTAAAGATATCAGCCTATCTTCTCAATATTTTGCCTACCAAAGCCCTTGTCGATATTACTCCTGCTTATGCTTTGTTTCACAATACACTATCTTATGATCAACTTTAAGTGTTTGGGTGTCTTTGTTTTCCTAATCTTTTGGCCATGACCCCAACTAAATTGGCCTCTTTTTTGGGTTAGGACGAATCGGCTAGCGAGTCAGGCCATTGATGATTACCTCTAATGAATATATAGGGATTAGGGACTGGTCTAGTGATTTTTGAATCCCACTTGTAAGAGACATACACTAAGACGATTATACCACATTCTCCCGAATCGTTTTAACACATAAAATGGTCTTTATAATTTTACATAATAGTGCATTTCCTTATGCTTGCATTTTTTAATAGTTTTTTGGGAAAATTGGCCGCAACAATACCAAGTATGACAAAGGTGCGTGTAGAAGCACAACCTTTCGAGGGTACAATCAACATTACAAACTATGCACTTAGGTGCACATAACAACGTAAATGACATTGGCAAAAGTTAGATTTCTTATGAAAGTGAAATCTTAAATATTTTTAATGCTTTTTTGTTTAAATATATATATATATATATATATATATATAATATATATATATATATATATATATATATATATAATAGAGATTCGACGTTAACAAATATATAAGATATTGAATCAAATAGAATTTTCCTTCATAAAAACTACGATCGTCGAGTAGATCTTGCACTGTGGAGCATCTCCCGCTTATATCGCTGAAAAATACAGCCTTGTTGGAGAGACAATCTAACGATCCTTTGTAGCCGTGAGGATGATTTCCTTCTGATTCATCTGTTCGTATTTGAAAACTTGATAACTTTTTCACCAACGAAATAATTTCATGACAATCCATTAGATCTGCTACCATGGATTCAAAACTAAGAAATTTCTCCCTCGAAAAGAGGAGATAAACCTTGTCTTTCGAAGGAGGTCGAAAAACCCTTGACTTTCGAAGGAGATCGGAAACCCTTTCTTTCGAGGGATAAAAGTTCCTCCCAAAAGGTGGAAGTATTATTATAAACCTAAAAAACAATAAAGAAACAAGGATTGGGGCTTTCCACCGATTAAAATCGATGGAAGCCCCTTCAAAATTCAACAATGGAGGCTAGGGTTTTGGAGAGAAAAAGGATGAATAAACTATACATGTTTAAATATATTTTTGTTTAATTACATTCTACTTAATTTTCCATCTCATGTAATTAAGTAACCATTAAATTGAATTATTTCAAAAAAAATTCGCCATTATGTTCTACGTTTGTTTCTTCAATTTTTTTTTTTTACATCTCATGTGATGATTGACTTAGTTCTCTTCCATAATAATTAGTTTTTTCCCATTAAATTATTCTCTCTCAACTTCCACAATTTAAGTGTTGTACATGAAAAACAAGAAAATGAATTTGGCATATCCTAAAATCCAATTCTTATTTTTTTTTTCAACCTCCACAATTTAAGTGTTGTACATGAAAAACAAGAAAATCAATTTGCCATATCCTAAAATCCAATTCTAATTTTTTTTTTTTTGAATTAAGTATTTAAAATCATTTTGTGGGGCTTGGAATTAGAAAGTTACTTATGCATCCTGAAATCTTATAGAATGAAGGTACTCAAATGATTTTTGTTTTTTTAATTTATCAATTTAGTATTTAACTAAGTGGAAAGGGAAAGGAAATTAAGTCAATCATGTGAGATCGATGTTAGAAAAAGTAATTGGAGAAGCAAATAAAGGAAAATAATAGCACAATTTTTTTTTTTTGAAGGAATCCACTTAATAAAATGGTGGAGGTTAAGAAATTCTTATATGAAAAAAATAAATAGAAGATAAGGCTAATTTAGTCACACATGATGGAAAATCATATAAGTTAAAATAATTTTAAACAATTATATAAAATAACAAAGATTCCACTTTTTTCATGGAACCTTAGTTCATTAGTGTCATTTATGCTAATATGTGCACCCACTTACTTAGTTTGTGTTGTAGACTGCACCCTTTAAAGGTTGTGCTGCTACACGTACCTTCATCATAGATGTTGTTGTTGTAGCCAATTTTTCCTAGTTTTTTTAGTCCATCATGCACTTTTCTATAAATACTACCTCCGTTTCATAAAATCTGCAACAAAGAGGCATTCACATTTCCCAAGGAAAATTTTGGTAAAAGTGTATTAGCAAAAGTAAGGGCAGGTTATTAAAGGTTAAAAAAATTAAAATGTTATGATTAAGCCACCACCGACATCCAGAACCTCTGCCCCCACCAAGCCACCCACTAGAATGGCCACCCCAGCACCCAGGATGGCCATCCTACCACCGCCAACATCCACATTCTCCACCACTAACATCACCTTCGACCACCCTACCACCGCCAACACCCACATACTCCAGCAGCAGGACCACCGCGCAACCACCTTCTCACGCACCACCACAAGATCTGAAACCCCTAAAAACCCACTGTGCGTTCTCACCCACCACCACCAAGATCGGAATCCCCACGCACCATGATCACCAATAACCCCATCCCACCTAACTCACAGCCACCAACACTTACCCACCACGAAGATACCCCACACCCACCCCGTAACCACGATCTTTTCACCATTTTTGCTTTAGATATGAGATTTCAAGGAGGAGCGGCGGCGACTTTGACAAGGGAAGCAAGAAGCCGTCGACTTTGATCAAGGGAGGAGAAAGCGTCGACGACGATTGTCACGAGTAAGGGGCGACGACTGCCACGAGTAAGAGGCGGCTGGACCGAGTGAGAGGCTGTGACTAGATCTGAGTGGTGGTGATGGAGTGTGTTGCTGGTGGCTGATAGTGAGGAGAGAGAAAAGTGCGTTGCTGGTGGCTGAGAGGGAGGAGAGAGAGATGTTGGTGGTGGATGTGGGTTTATGTGAGAGGAGAGAGAATATGGGTTAGGGTATTAATTGTGAATAAATTAATTTTGGTTAATAAGTTTATAGGTAGTTTATTGAAGTTAAGTAAGGGTATGTTGGTAAATTCACACAAAAAATTTACTACATAAGGAAAGATTTTTTTTTTTTTTTGCACATAATGTGTAGTTTCTGTTTTGAAAAATTGTTGCAAATTTTATGAAACGGAGGTAGTATTTAATTTTGTATCTACAGATCCATATATATATGTCGTAACAAGTCTAACAACATCCATCAATTGCATTTGCAATCCTTTATAGAATGTTATGCACCAATGCACACCAAAAATCTCACAATAGTTTCATTCCTTTATTATTAGAGAATATGCTTTCTTATAACCAATTCCTAACATTAAGGAAAAACTTTTTTTGAGCAATTAGTCTTGCTTTATTTCTGGTTATTAGAGAATATGCTTTCTTATAACCAATTCTACTCAATTTCTCTCTTTATATTTCGGCCAAACACTCCAGCAATGATGTTCTTCCATTGTCCTTGGTTCTATATCATTTTCATTTGATGTTATTTCGATTGCAATGGAGTGGGCAAATAGCTCGTTTATGCATGATAACATATTTCAAATCCATTATTTCTTAACGGAAACACATAATTTATCAAAGTTCCATTGTTTTCGATATGTTTGTCGTCTCTCGACCTCCCCCACCGAATGTAAGATTTTAGTTGTTTCATTTTCGAAATACTCTATAAACACCAAGATATTGATCTTTTGATGATAACATTTTCCTTTGCTTTGATATGTTTGACTAATTAGCATAATAATTAATTTAATCATTAACTTACAGGGTAAGGGGAATTCCCACCCAAAAGTGAGATTTGATCCATGAGATACAAACCTTACCAGTAGACCAAGCTAATGCTTGATTGCTCGGTAATTGTTAACTTAAGTGGTTTTATATTTATTATGTCAAAGTTCAAAATATATACATTGTTGTATTGACAATAACCCATCCAATGCGTGCATATAGTATTGAAACACTTCAACCTCGTATATTCTTTCAGATTTTTTCTTCTAAAAAAAACAAAAAGATCAATCTAAAAATAAAATATAACATAAGAGCTACCTTGGTTATTTCCGAAAAATTGAAGCACACTTATACAATATGTTACGAACGTGGTGGCAAATAAACTTCAACAACAAATAATAATTGACTTTTTGAGTTAGATTATTTGCTCTTATTATATGTCACAAAGATTCAGGAATAACGTGTTGATTTCACAAAGATTCAGTAGGAACGTGTGACATGGCTTTTAGATAGAATTTAGGGGCTATAACCCTATAAATTAGCTTAATTATTAACTAGATATGCTTACCACTTAATTAGCTTAATATAAGTAAAAATTGTTAGTAGTATCCAAAACATCCGATTGGTTCACCAATAAATAAAAAATTTAAAACTTTAGAATGACCTCATTTATATCGGTATATTTTATGAATCTCATACAAACTAAGTCAAATGTTGATAAAACCTGAATTCATACTTGTAAACAAATTTTTATCAATTAAAAAAATTAATTATCCATTTTAAAAAAATACAAATAGAGAGTGAGAAGTAACTCTAGTGGTTAAAGTTTTCCTCTTAATATTGAAATTGATTCTCACCCCGCCCTTATAGATTATGTTTTTCGAATTCGGCTTTTCTTTCCAGCTAAACAATAAAATTACACGGATTATAGGTGATTCCTAAGCTTTTAAAGTTAGATGTTGTGGGATTGAAGCTCTATTGGAACATATTTTACACGAGTATCATACATTCATATGAGGTTGAAATCTGGTAAAAAAGAGGCAGTAAAATGCAATATATTACTTCTTCGTGTGTACATATACATATATGTATGTATATATTAGTTAATCAGTGTCAATTAAGGGTTCGTGTGAAAATTCATATTTCAATGAAATTGAAATTTGAAGGAAATGCTAGATTGCGTTTGGTTAAGCATGAGATTGAAGTGGAAACTACTGAGGTATAGAAATTAAATTCCTCCATTTTGTAGGTAGTGAAATTTCTGTACGGAATGGTACTGACACCGTTATGATTTAGACAAGATTGTGCCAGATTGGCAGATTGTCACTTTCCTAGCTACAACCTCCATTATCGGCCTTATCTCCATAACGAACTATATTCATAGCCACATTGATAGATGCTTTCGACCATGTAGGCACCTACTGGACTTACATGCCACCGATAGGTGGCACTAGCTTGGTTGTTTTTCTATTACCCAAGCATGATTCATTTCTAAGGTACGATCTTTATCTACTCTCTCTTTCTCTCTCAAACACTCTCTCCTTTCTTTTTCTTGTCATCAATTGCTAACTTTAGAATCGAATCGGTTATCCCCGAATAATTCCCCGAGCTAGCTACTCCACGTTGACTGTGTAAGAATTCAATTGGACGATAAACCTTTACCGACTCCAGACACAAGTTACCGGAGCTCACACGGAACAATTCCTACTTCCCATGATTTTGCTAACCAAATAGCACAAAAGAATATGTTTTAATTTTTTGGTCAACCAAATGACACCTAAGAAGAATATTTAGAGAGGGATTATTTATTTTTAATTTTAATTTTTGTATATATAATTGGTATAGAAAATAATATAGAATTGTGGTTTTGTTAACCCTCTTTCTCCTATAGTCAACTGTTAACCCTTTGATATAACTAACAGTTAGTTAGCTTCTTCTTTTTTCTTTATCCTATACATTGATTGAACTACTGGCCTTGTTTCAAAGCCATAGAAGAACAACCATTGCAATCCCAAAATCCTGCCGCCCTCATCAATTTCATTCTTTTGTCTTTACATAGCGAAAACAACCCAGTCTTGCTATATATATACAAGCATATGCTAGAAGTTCATACTTCAAAATCAATTATATGTTGTAATCAAATTTAAGCTAATCAGAATGCCAGATTTCTTTGTTATGTAAAATTAAAGAAAAAATCATCAGACTGTCAGAAAATTTCATAAATTCAATCATGTTAAAAGGACAGTTGCAAGTCCTAAACGCGCTTGATGTGGCTAAAACACAATGGTATCATTTCAAAGCCATTGCGATTGCGGGTATGGGCTTCTTCACAGATGCATATGATTTGTTCTGCATCTCTATGGTGGCAAGACTGCTAGGGCGTTTGTACTACACTGCACCTGGCGCGGAGAAGCCAGGGATCTTGCCTATCAATGTCTCAGCTGCTGTGAATGGGGTCGCGCTTTGTGGCACCTTACTTGGACAGCTTTTCTTTGGTTGGCTTGGAGATCATATGGGAAGAAAAAAGGTGTATGGTACTACTTTAATATTGATGATCTTTTCTTCGTTTGCTTCGGGACTGTCATTTGGGAAGACTCCGAAAGGGGTGATGACTAGTCTTTGTTTTTTTCGATTTTGGCTTGGGTTTGGTGTTGGAGGAGAATATCCTCTTTCGGCCACTATCATGTCTGAGTATGCTAACAAGAAGACTCGTGGGACATTCATTGCCGCGGTCTTTGCAATGCAAGGCATGGGGATTTTAGCTGGTGGGATAGTGGCCTTATTAGTCTCAGCAGCCTTTGAAAACAAGTTTAAACCACCCCCTTTTAATGTAGACCCTATTGCCTCTATTCCACCGGAATCAGACTTTATTTGGCGAATTGTCTTGATGTTCGGAGCCATTCCTGCTATCTTTACGTATTATTGGCGTATGCAGATGCCTGAGACAGCTAGGTACACTGCCCTTGTGGCTAAGAACTCGAGACAGGCTGCTGAAGATATGTCAAAAATTCTCAACATTCATTTGGATGCAGAGGAAGAGAAGGTTGATAAACTACTCCGAAGTGAGAGTCACCAGTTTGGGCTATTCTCACGTGAGTTTGCTAGCCGGTATGGTGTCCGCCTCCTAGGAACCACCAGTACTTGGTTCTTACTCGACATAGCTTTTTACAGTCAGAACCTCTTTCAAAAAGATATCTACTGGTCTGTAGGATGGATCCCGCCCACAGGTGAGATGAGTGCCATCAGGGAGGTTTACCAAATAGCCCGATTTTCAACCTTGATTGCTCTTTGTGGGACTGTCCCAGGGTACTGGTTCACTGTCGCCTTCATAGACGTAATTGGACGTTGGTGGATCCAAATGATGGGATTCTTTTTCATGACAGTTTTCATGTTCGCCATTGCCTTTCCCTATGATCATTGGAATAACAAAGAACATCGTATTGGTTTCTTAATCTTATATGGTCTAACCTTCTTCTTTGCCAACTTTGGTCCGAATGCTACCACCTTTGTTATACCAGCCGAGATATTCCCAGCTAGGCTTAGGTCCACTTGCCACGGTATATCAGCAGCATCAGGAAAAGCAGGGGCTATAATTGGAGCCTTCGGGTTCTTGTACGCCTCACAAGAGAAAGACCCGGAGAAGAGAATTCATAATTATCCAGCTGGTATAGGGAAGAAGAAGTCCCTCATCATTCTTGGTGTCATCAACTTTATTGGTATGTTATGCACATTCTTAGTCCCTGAACCAATGGGTAAATCTCTTGAAGAACTTGCTGGAGATGTTGAAATTGATGACGCTGAATATGAGTGCAAAGTTGTTGTTTGATTATTACTTGTAATTAAAATACTAAGTGTACTATACATGGTACATCTTAGTATGATTTTGCTGTTTGTATTGTGTATCAGCCTCATTATGATATTTTAATAAGGTATTTGGGAGAATCAAAATACCTTTAATTAATTCCCTTGTTTATATTTCCAAATTTCTGTGCAAGACAGCTAAATTTTTAGCTATATATTGTAAAGGATTTGATCAAATCATATTTATTGATATTGTTTATACTTAGCAACCCCTTGATTTACTCTCTCGATTGATAGTCAAAGATATCCCTTATTTTTAGCTAAAGTACCTGGACAAGTACTCTAATGTATCTAGTCGTTTTATATTGCTTACTCATCTACTATATATACTCATGGAATCACATCAATATAATCAAGCTTTCCAACATTTCTCTTTCCCATAACTCTGGTATCATGAGCTTTTGATCCATATTTTGTTGCTTCCGCTACTACCATGGTTACACTATCAAAAGTAGTCAAAACCCTTTGTTGACGCCGACAAATGAGGTGACTATATCAAACTTTCTTCTCGGAAAGCTTCAAACCAAAAACACACTTTTCACTCAACTCTTTTGGCACCCCGTATTTCATATACCAAGAGATGCCATTGACATATATATATATTTTTTCTCCGAACCTCTTATGGAGAAACAATCCCCTTTCGACACCCTATAATTTGTCTACCAAGTGTTGTCAACACATAAACTCAATTCTCGAAACCCCCCTCTTTATGGAGAAACAATCCCCTTTTGGCCTATATAGTCTATCTTCCAAGTGTTGCCAAATATAAACTCACTTCTCCAAACTTTTATGGAGATTCTCAAACTATTTTCTTTTAATGATACTAAATGTAATTCTTCTCCTATAAAAATGATCAAAATTTCATCCTTACTCTATATCTCACTTCCCCTCTTCCCCTCCTTGAGTTAAAATTCTGCTTCACGCATGCAATTCCTCCTCCTTAAAACCACAAAAAAAAAAAAAAAAAAAAAAACTCTTTTAACTCAGAATTTGGTACGTACAACTCTCAATTGAAGAACCACCAACATCTTGAAGTGGCAATCAACAATCAAGAACAACATTCATTTTACAAGATTGTACTTTCCCTTTGGCCGTCCATCTTGCGGGGGCGTGTAAAGGATTTGATCAAACCATATTTATTGATATTGTTTATACTTAGCAATCCCTTGATTTACTCTTTCGATTGATAGTCAAAGATATCCCTTATTCTTAGCTAAAGTACCTAGACAAGTACTCTAATGTATCTAGTCGTTTTATATTGTTTACTCATGTACTATATATACTCATGGAATCACATCAATATAATCATGCTTTCCAACATCTCTCTTTCCCATAACTCTATCACATATTGATTTGATGAATTGTTATTGATCAACTATGTTGTCATCTCTTGTCTTAATATGAAGTCATTCAACTTACTATATGCAATGCGAAATGAAATTTTTAGCTATGATTTAAGGAATTTTTTTTATTTTTTATTTTATTGTACATACACCATTTGTTTTAGTATAATTAATTGACACCAAATGTTGAATGGGAAGCGTTAAAATAGACGGTTTAATATAATGTAAAATTAGTGAGTGTAATTTATATTGTGAGAAAAGGGCTGAGAAAATGATTTTTTTTTTAACACAAAATAAAAGACTTATATAAAATGGCTAATGCCTTATTGTTAGTTACATCAAGCATCCTATAATTTAAACAAGGAAAATGATAGTGCAAAAAGTAGGTACACCATGGTAGGTTAAGATTGTAAAGTAAAAAACATTTTAATAATAGTGACATTTGGGAGTTAAGCATGAATGTGGGTACTAAACTTTGCCAAAAGTTGCAAATAAGGGACTCAACTTTCACTTGTTGCATTTAGAGTACTAAACTTTGTACTCTACCTTTTTTACTTGTTGTAGCCGATAATAGCAAATTTGTTTTTTTTTTTCCTTGAAGTCTGATACTAAGTTCAATAATTGTCAGAGTAAGCATTGCAAATCAGATTTTAAAAATATAGCCGTATAAGCTTAACAATATGAAGATGATGAGTATTGAGTATGCTCCATCTTCTTTGACACCGTACTAAGTAGGGGTCGGTTAGAATTAGCCAATTCACCACGTCGGTCGGCTACTCCGACGATACAGCTCTATTAATTCCTAGATACAGAAACACCACTAGGAACAATTGAGAGAGGAATCTTGGATACAGTAATACCACCAAGGGTTAGGGAGATAATACTCTACCTAAGAACACTCAAAGTGTTTAAAGATATTTCATGTAAAAGACTTGTCGGTTAACGAGCTACAACCATGACTATTTATAGCCTTCATTAGCAGCTACTACAACTACCAGAAATTAATATGAAGCTAGCTAATTAAATGCAATGTTGAATTTCAACATTGCCGACATGAGGGGTATGGGGTGCCGACATTGAAGTCTTCTAGAAGCAGTTTTAAACCTTGTCAAACTCTCCCGGTTGTAGAAGACTCGACCTCGAGTCTTTGATCTTCCTCATCCTCGTGATATGGGGACAAATCAGCGACATTAAATGTGGCGGAGACATTGTATTCCCCCGGAAGCTCAATCTTGTATGCATTCTCCCCGATTCGTTCTAGGACCTTGAATGGACCGTCAGCTCTGGGCTTGAGCTTACCATGTGTTCCTCTGGGAAACCTTTCTTTCCTTAAGTGTATCCAAACAAGATCTCCTTCCTTAAAGCTAGCTGGTCTACAAAACTTGTTCGCTTGTTCTTGATAGCGTTGATTTTGCCTTGTAATTTGAGCTCGAACCTTCTCATGTAACTTCTTGATCTCTCTAGCTCGTTCATCGGCATTACCGCTAAAGTGATCAGGAGCGGGTAGTGGAACAAGAGCAACCGGCGTAGTTGGATTTTTACCATAAACGATCTTGAAAGGGCTTTCACCAGTGGTTTGGCTCGGAGAACAATTGTAGGCGAACTCGGCTTGAGCTAACAACACATCCCACTGTCGGATGTTCTTGCTTACAAGACTTCTCAGCATATTTCCAAGAATCCTATTGACAACTTCAGTTTGACCATCAGTTTGAGGATGTGCGGCGGAGCTAAACTGCAACTGTGTTCCTAACTTGCGCCATAAGGTTCTCCAAAAATGGTTCATGAATTGACATCTCGATCAGAAGTGATGGTCTTTGGTATTCCATGTAGCCGTACAATTTCTCAAAAATAAAGATCAGCAATCTGCGTGGCATCATTAGTTTTATTGCACGGAATAAAATGAGCCATCTTCGAGAATCGATCAACAACAACCATGATGGAATCTTTGTTGCGTTGGGTACGAGGCAACCCAGCAACAAAATCCGTATTGACTTCTTCCCAAGGAGCTTCAGGAACCGGTAATGGTGTGTAAAGACCAGTATTTTGACCTCGAGCTTTGGCAATATGACATGCTCTACATCGCTTGACATATCGATCGATGTCACGAACCATGTGCGGCCAATAGAAATTTTCTTTAACAATGCCCAATGTCTTATCACGACCAAAATGACCGGCAAGACCACCAGCATGACACTCATGTAATATCATCTCGCGTAGGGAACACCTTGGCAAGCACAATTGATTTCTTTGAATAAGTAGCCATTTTGTCAATGAAACTGGCGTTGAGGGCCTCCTGAACAATTATTCCAAATTTCCCCAAAATCTTCATCATCTTCATACAAGTCCTTGAGAACCTCGAAACCAATGACTTTGACTTGAAGAGTGGAGAGCAAGGCATGTCTTCTACTTAAGGCATCAACAACCTTGTTTTGCGTCCCGGATTTGTGCTTGAGGAAAAAGTGGAAGGGAGATAAGAACTCGCTCCATCTTGCATGACGACGTTGGAGTTTTTGTTGGCTGTGAAGATGCTTTAGTGATTCGTGATCTGAGTAGAGCACAAACTCCTTAGCCAAACGATAGTGACTCCAATGATCTAAGGATCGTACAATTGCATAGAATTCCTTCTCATAGGTTGAGTACTTGCACCTTGATTAATTGAGTTTCTTAAAGAAAGCAATTGGTCGTCCTTCCTGGCCTGAGTACTGCACCTATACCAACTCCCGAAGAATCACAATCTACCTTGAAAAGCTTATCAAAATCCGGCAAGGCAAGAATTGGTGCATGGGTGATCATAATTTTCAACTTCTCGAAGCTTTGTTGAGCTGTTGGGGTCCACTCAAACTTCTGCTTCTTCAGTACTTCAGTGAGCGGGGCGGCAATAGTGCTGAAATTTTTGATGAATCGGCGGTAGAAGGACACTAGACCATGAAAGCTGTGAACATCATGTATTGATTGAGGAACTGGCCATGTGTTAATGGCTTCAACTTTGCTAGGATCCATCTCGATCCCATTGCTAGAGACAACATATCCAAGAAATACCACTTTGTAGGTGAGGAAGTGACATTTCTTCAGATTGGCATACAACTTTTGTTCACGAAGAACTTGGAAAATTTGTTGTAGATGATTCATATGCTCTTCAAAATTTCGACTGTACACAAGAATATCATCAAAGTAAACAACTACGAACTTGCCAATGAAAGGGCGGAATACCTGATTCATCAGTCGCATAAAGGTGCTAGGAGCATTGGAAAGACCGAACGGCATGACCATCCACTCATACAATCCATCCCTGGTCTTGAAAGCAGTATTCCACTCATCTCCAAGTCGCATTCGGATTTGATGATATCCGCTTCGTAGATCAATCTTCGAGAACACAACAGCATCGTGCAATTGATCAAGTAGATCATCAAGGCGCGGAATGGGAAAGCGATATTTGATAGTGATCCGATTAACGACACGACTATCAATGCACATGCGCCACGATCCAACTTTCTTTGGGACAAGAAGTGCTGGAACTGAGCATGGACTCACACTATCACGTACCAATCCTTTTTGCATGAGATCGATGACTTGTCGTTGAAGCTCTTCATGCTCTTTTGGACTCATCCGATAGGCAGCCTTATTAGGGATGACTGCTCCCGGAACAAAGTCGATGCAATGTTGAATATCACGCATTGGAGGTAAACCTTCAGGAATTTCTTCCGGCACAATGTGACTAAATTTGCGAAGTAGAGGCTGGATCTCGTCCGGTATTCCTTGATCTTCTTGATTTTCCTCGAGCATGACTAGAGCACAAGCAATATTGGATTCTTTCAAGGCCATTGTAAACATTGATTCTGACACAACGGAGCTCGTCTCTTGGCTTGGATTTGCTAACAAATCCCTTTTTAGAGGTGCTAAAACAATTTTGACACCATCCTTTTCAAAGGAATAAGTATTATGAAAGCCATCATGAATTTCACGACGATCATACTGCAATGGACGACCCAAAAGTAGGTGACAAGCATCCATAGGGATGACATCACACTATACCTTATCCTGATATTTCTTCCCGATGGAGAAATCAACAAGGCATCTTTTAGAGACCTTGACATCATTCCCCTTCTTCAACCATGTGAGCTTGTATGGATAAAGGTGATCCTTTGTAGGCAGTTTCAATTTCTCGACCATGGTGGCGGCAATCACGTTCTCACAACTAACACTATCGATAATGACATCACATATTTTACCATGAGATGTACATCGAGTGTGGAAGATGTTGTTGCGTAACCACTCATCTTCTTTTACTGGGGCGGCATTGAGGGTACGACGAATAACTAACGATTCGCCTTCGTCAGCGTGCAAAACCTCTTCATTGTTGTCATCCTCAATATCTTCAACCTGTTCTTCTTCTAACAATTCCTCTTCGACAAGAGAAATTATTCTAGAATTTGGACATTCAGAAGCAATGTAACCAAATCCTTGACACTTAAAACATCTTCTAGAGGTAGGATTGTTGTTACCTTGCCTTTGTGGTTTGCTCGTTGTAACTGGATTCTCAACCTTCTTCGTTGATGTGCTAGAGTTGGTCTTTGGTGGAAACTTTGTTGGAGTATTTCCACGGTAAGAAGCCTCCTTAGAGACAAACTTAAATCCAGTTATCTCCTTTGCTTGCTGGCCTTCAACCTTCACAGCAAGCTTGGTGACGTCGTTGAACGACCAATATTGTTGGAGTTGTACGACTTTGGAGATTTTTGGGTCCAAACTGGTTAAGAACCTTGCAATGGTCTGCTCTTCTGGTTCAGAGTTGTCGCACTTCATTGATAAATCTTCAAACTCGGCAACATACTCGGCCACAGATTTGTTTCCTTGTTCCAAGTGATGAAACTTGAGAAACATATCTTGGCGATAGTGACTGGGTAAAAATTTACGCTTGAGTTCGCGTTTCATTTTATCCCATGTACAGATCGTACTACGACCTTCTCGTTCACGTTGTCGTCTGAGATTCTCCCACCAAATGGATGCATGTTTCTTGAATTTGATGGTTACTGACTTGACCTTGCGTTCGTCCGGAATGTCTTTAAAATCAAAGACACGTTCAACTGTATGGAGCCATTCGATAAACTCATCGGGATGAACACCTCCTTCAAAATCTGGAATTTCAACTTTGATTGCAAACTCCTTTACTTGGTGTCAAGGATGGCGCGTTCGTCGGGAACGAGATGTTTCTCCACTTGAATATTCACCCTCGGGTTGGTGAAATGGATTGAAATCTTCATCTGGGCTATCTGATTGTTCTCTGTCTGATTGATGGGAATGATTAGCAGCAGCTTCATGACGTGCAAGACGTTGTTGAAGTTTTTGGATTTCTCGTTGCATGTCAGCTATTATAATGTCATAGACAGGACATTGTTGCTGATTATTTCCTCGACGTGCTCTCGGCAGCATTTTCTTAATAAAAAATCTAAACTGTGCTATATATATATATATATATATATATATATATATATATATATATATATATATATATATATATCTTTTTTTCCTTTTTTTTTAACAATATATAGTGAACGTACAGGAAATAAACTAAGAAATTTATGTAAAATATCAACAACCTAACTTAAACTTATCTACTGAAGTAAGTAGACTTTTAATTATCACAAGTGGAAGACTCTTGAGTGGTATTTGGTCTTTTTTGGCACATGGCCACACACGTCATTTACTTCCTTTTTTTTTTAATAAATAGGAGTACACTAAGAGCAACTCCAACAGTGTAAAATTAGGACTAGTTTGCAATTTATGAAACTAATAAATAATTAGCTTAACCATTGGAATTGCATTACCAAATAAACTAACTTAAACTTATCTACTGAAGTAAGTAGACTTTTAATTATCACAAGTGGAAGACTCTTGAGTGGTATTTGGTCTTTTTTGGCACATGGCCACACACGTCATTTACTTCCTTTTTTTTTTTTTTAATAAATAGGAGTATACTAAGAGCAACTCCAACAGTGTAAAATTAGGACTAGTTTGCAATTTATGAAACTAATAAATAATTAGCTTAACCATTGGAATTGCATTACCAAATTAGCTGGGCAAAGCTATTCGCTTAGCTAAGCTAATTAGCTTTGCAAATTGTGGGAATTAAAAAAAATTAAATAAATAAAAAAAATTATTGAAAATTAGCTTAACCATTGTGGAATTAATAAGCTACAAGGTAGATTAGCTTTGCAATCCTAGGTGGCATGGCAAGCTAATTTCACAATTAGCTTACCATTGGAGTTAAGAGCCCAATAAGACTAGTCAACTGCTGAACTTAAATAAGAAACTCAAATAGAGCGTGAGAAACAAGGGAATAAGGCATGAGAGAGAAAGTGATTACCAGAGAACAGAGCATTTCAAGAACAAGAAAAATTAGAGCAATTCTTCAACAATTGCTATAATTCAAGGTTATCTTGTCATATTTGGTGTAGCGGAGAGGTGATGGTGCGGCGGAACTCACGGCTGGGTAAGTATTTTTTTTTTTTTTGAATTTACGGTGAGGTTGGGATGGAAGTCGACGGTGGATTATTTATGGTGGCCGGCGACAGAGTAATGGAAGGGTAGTTTACGAAGGCGATTAGGTGGTTTGTGATTTTGCGGGTGGTTTTAATTAGGCTACAACAAATATGGGTGTTGAAGCAGCGTAGGCAATTCGACAGCTTCAATGGAGGTTGGGCGAGATGGTAAACGAAACCTTGGCTCTGGTACCAATTTGACACCGTACTAAGTAGGGGTCGGTTAGAATTAGCCAATTCACCACGTCGGTCGGCTACTCCGACGATACAGCTCTACTTATTCCTAGATACAGAAACACCACTAGGAACAATTGAGAGAGGAATCTTGGATACAGTAACACCACCAAGGGTTAGGGAGATAATACTCTACCTAAGAACACTCAAAGTGTCTAATTATATTTCATGTAAAAGACTTGCCGGTTAACGAGCTACAACCATGACTATTTATAGCCTTCATTAGCAGCTACTACAACTACCAGATTTTAATATGAAGCTAGCTAATTAAATGCAATGTTGAATTTCAACATTGCCGACATGAGGGGTATGGGGTGCCGACATGGAAGTCTTCTAGAAGCAGTTTTAAACCTTGTCATTCTTGTTAGAATTATTTCCAAAATAACATTATTTCTGATATTTTCATTATTTTCCTTTTTAAAAATTTTCTTGTTTGATTTATTTTGAGTAAAAATTTACGGACTATTTCAGTTGAGATAAGAGTAGATGCCTCCAAATTTACAATTTCACCGCTTCAAATTCAATCAACAATAAAAAAGGAGCTTTAAAAAAAAAAAAAAAAAAAAAAAAACTGAAATTAGTTTTTTTTTTTTAGCTCAAATCTGCAACAAATAATGGGAGAGGCTGCAAATTTAGAGAGAATTGAAACAATGGTAGTAGTAGAGATTTTTTTTGATGGGTTTTCACCGGTTTCTTTAACTCCTGTTTTATGGCAATTTCGTAAGAGGCGTGGTTCGTTTTCTCTCTCCTCTTTTTTTTTTGGTTTAATTTGTTCATTATTAATTAATTGAATCAAATTCAAGTATTATTTGTGTGATTAACCGTCTTTAATTCATTTTTTTTCTTTGGATTACTGATGGATCAGCGTTGGGAGAAGAAAAACATCAATTCTCTTTAACCAAGGCAATTGCTCTGATATTCGAAAATCAATTTATTTATTTATTTTTTTAAAGTAAAACCGGTTGTAACCTATTAATAGGGGTAAACTCATCGGAATATTCCTTCCCGCAAGTACTCTACCAAAGTTGAGCACCCATTTTGCAACAAGTGAAAGTTGAGTACCTTATTTGCAACTTCTTTGATAGTTTAGTACCCACATTCATGCTTAACTTTGACATTTGGCAAACAAGTTCATTTGTTTGATGAGCACTGACTATGGAACAAAGCTTCTCTTTGTTCACTTTTGGGGTGCGAGCCTTTTGGCGTAAAAGTAAACGGGCAACAAAAGTAATTGGTTGGTTCACTTGTGGATAATAGAGTAATAAGGCTCCGTTACCGAAAATCACTTTTCAAGAAAAACAATTTTTAATGGAAAACATGATTGTAAAAAAGTTTTCCTTTCTTTAATTTGTTTGATTAGAGAAAAATTTAAAGAGAAGGGAAAACGAAGTCAAAGGAAATGAAAGTTGGGAGGAGAGTATAATAATGAGAATTTTCAAGGCACAATTTTCCTTTTTTAAAGTTCAATTTTTCACCCTTTAGAAAAATTGTTAGAAAAATTGTTTTCATCTCTCATCAAAACAAACAGAGAAAAATGGAAAGCCGAAGGAAAATCATTTTCTAGGAAAATGTTTTCCACCGAAACAAACGAAAGAGGAAACAAATTTAATATGCAGAAGAGAGAAACACAAAGGGTTTTCAAAGAGCATTCATTTCACATTTTACAAGGAGCAGCATAAAAAATCAGCTCTAATCAAGGCTCATCTATGGTCTAATTTGGCTCCATTTTTTAACAGCTTGTCTGGGACATAAAGGGCTTCATCTTCAACACTGTGATTTTCTTTTATTGCTACATATTAGGAGTTATAGTTGCCTCTAATCAAGACTTGGATTGTGCTTGTGAAACATTCTTTTACACTTCTCTTTGAAGGGGTTTTTCACGTAAACATCATGTGTTCTTTGCTTGTTGTTTGTGCTCATTCATTGCTATATGTTGGTGCGTTTTATGTGTTCATATTGCTGATGTATTGGTGATCTTGGAAAATAAATTATATTGATTGTGTTGGTGGTGACGTTGAACAAACTAGTAGCGGAAACTTGCTTGTGCTATGTTTTTTCACTTGATTATTCCGTAAGAGGTGGGTTTATCTCAACAGTAAATCGCAAGAATGCCAATGAAATAGTGTGTAAATTGCACGGAAATAAACCATATGGTCAATTGCCATGTCAAGCACGTGCTATTTTCACAAATTTTAACTCTCATACAATTAAACCACCGTGAAAATGGTAATGGATGGCACTCCGTAATAGAAATTTATCAACAAAATAAGGTATATGGAAAGAAACTCGTATTACCGTGAGCATTGGCATGAAACCTTGCATAATTTTCCTTTAATTGTCATGTTTTTGCCATATTAAATCAATCTACTATCTCCGATTCATGTAGTATATGAAATGAACAACTAAAAGGATTTATTGCTGAAGAAGAGGTGGTTTATGGGTTCCCTGTAGATCCAAATGACTGGAGAAGAAGAAATGAGAGGAAAAAAGATTTGAAAATTAAAATACGAAGTATAGAGTATTTGGAATTAATTTTTCTAGTTTCTCTCTCTTTTTTTTTTCTTAATTTTTGTATTCCCTTTATGTTCCTCTCTGTTTTTATAAGAGAAGGAAATTAGGAGATGAGCTAAACTGAAAATAAAAGTATGAGAACAGGCCCTGATAGAGTTATGAGAAAGAGAATGTTAGAAAGCAAACTATGACTAGGGATTTACATATACTAAACAATAACTAATAATGATAATGATGATATAATCATCTTTATCCTTTATACCCTCGCAAGACGGACGTTCGGAACGAGAGGTCGATCTTGGATATAACATCTCAAATCTTGTTCAATGTAGGAATTGAAGTGGTGGTGAGAAAGGTTGCATTGCGATTCTCCTATATTTGGAGGGAGTGGAGCATTAGAAGGTTTTTTAGAAAAAGAAAAGGAAATGTATTAAAGAAGCTTTTTTTTTTTTTGGATGGAGGAGTTGCGTGAAGAAGTAAAAAGATAGTATATATAGAGAGAATAAGAAGTTGTTTAATGGGTGTTTTTCACGGTTTTTAAACATATGAACCATTGATTGTAAATATTAAAAATAAATAAATAAATTTGCTACACTACGTGAAAAAATGAAATTGGCACCGGTTCAAACCCGGCCTAAGGCACCGGTTTGAACCGGTGCCAATGTGGGGGGTGCCAATTACCCCCCTTTTTGGCACCGGTTCAAAACCAGTGCCATAAACAGGGTTTGGCACCGGTTAACCGGTGCCAAAAATACTAAAAAAAAAAAATTTTATCCTCCTTTTGGCACCGGTTAACCGGTGCCAAAAATGTCCAAAAAAATAATTTTTTTTTTTTGGTTTTTTTTCACTTACAATTAAATTTATCAACTGAAAAAAAATAAGAATCACAACAAAAATCGAATTGGTTTCAATATATATAATCCAAACTTTAAAATACATAATCAAATCCAAAATTACAATATAGATCAATTACAACTAACATATAAATAAATAAATAAAAAATTACATTATAAATCATAAAAAAAATTATAATATACTAGTAAATCAAAAAGAAAATTACAATATGAACATATCAATATTCTTGCATAATTTGTACCTGCACTAATTAAAACAGAAAAAAAAAATCAATTGGTAAAATAAGCTTAAGAATTAATAAAAAAAAACCCAGAAATTCAAGTTGAAATAAAAATCGAAATTATCAAAAACGAAAAAAAAACAATTAAAAATCAAAATCAATATCGAAAAAAATCAAAATCGAAATTATAAAAAAGAACAAAAAAACCAAAATTGAAATCGAAAAATAAAACCAAAAATTCGAAAAAAACAAAATCGAAATCGGAAAAAAAAAAACCAATTAAAATTGGAACCCAAAAAACCAAAATCAAAAACAAAATCCCAGAAATCGAAAACAAAAACCAAAATCAAAAATCAAAATCAATATTGAAAACGAAAAAAACCAAAATCAAAAACAAAATCCCAGAAATCGGAAAAAAAAAACCAAAATCTAAAACCAAAATCAAAATTAAAACCCAGAAAACCAAAATCGAAAAAAAATCCCACAAATCGAAAAATAAAAAACAAAAATCGAAAATAAAAGGCAAAATCGAAAAAAAAAACCAAATACGAAAAACGAGTGAGTCAATCTTTAAGCAAAACCCAGAAAACCAATCTTAAAATCTTTAAGTCAATCTTAAAATCGAAAAAAAAAAACCAAACCCAGAAAACCAAAATCGAAAAAAAATCCCACAAGAGATTTTGTGGTGGTGGCGGCGGCTGTTGTTGTTGGTGCTCGAACTTGGTGGTGGTGGCGGCGGCAGATCTAAGGGAGAATATGAACGAAGAACGAAGAGAAAGAGAGGAGAAAGAAGGAAAGGAGAGGAAATGGGGGACGAATGGAGGCGGATAGAACTAGGGGGAATGGAGGAGAGAGAAGGAGAGGAGAGGAAATGGGGGACGAATGGAGGCGGATAGAACTAGGGGGAATGGAGGAGAGAGAAGGAGAGGAGAGGAGAGGAAATAGGGTTTAATAATGCTCCGTTTTTTTTAAAGGATGGTCCGGTTCAGTGGCACCGGTTCAAACCGGTGCCCTTTGTATTTTTGACACCGGTTCGATCTGAACCGGTGCCATTACTCTTGGTCTAAAATCCCGCCCATTTTTAGGGCGGTTTTTGGCACCGGTTTGGTCTGAACCGGTGCCGTTTGGGGGTTGCCTTTTTGTATTTTTCTACTAGTGCTAGCGTATGCTTGCAACAAATGGGGGGGGAGAAAAAATGTAGAGGTTCCTTCACCACCATTGAAGGCGAGATAGAAAAATTATAATGGTGGTTTAGAACAGAATGTTATGTTTCTCCATAATGTTTTTTTGGAGAGAATTTCGTATACGGTAACACATGGTAGGTAAACTACGCGATATCGAAAAAGGTTTGTTTCTTGGTTTGGAGAAAAAAAAATATATTAATGGCATCTCTTGGTATATGAAATACGGGGTGCCAAAAGAGTTGAGCAAAAAGCACTACAAGAATCAGGTCAAATAACGACGGACCAGTTCCGACGGAACTGAAAATCCGTCGGAAAACTCGATATTTCCGACGGATTTAATTTCCGTCGGAAAATTCCGACGAATTAAAAAATTCCGTCAGAAATCCGTCGGAAATTTCCGACGGAAAATAAATCCGTCGGAATAATTAGACATTCCGACGGAATATTCCGTCGGAAATTCCCGACGGAAAAATATTCCGTCGGAAATTCCCGACGGAAATTTCCGTCGGAACATATACTAAAATAAAAAATAAAAAAAAATATTTATTTACCACCTAACCCTAAACTTCTTCTATCTAGCCGCCACTTTTTTTTCCCTAACTTCTCTTTCCCCTTCTTTCTCTCTCCTTCCTCCTCCTTTCCTTTCTTCTCTTTCTCTCTCCTCATCACCTCCGTCCGCCCCTTCTCTCTCCATCCGCTCCTTCTCTTTCCTCCTCCTTTCCTCTCCTCTTTCACCCCCTACCACCACCAACAACAACAACACCATAAAACACCAAGCAAGTAACAAAACAGCGACTACAACAACAACACCGGCGACTACAACAACACCGACGACCAAACCAACAACGGCGACAAAAACAAGAACGACGACGTACCACGTACATGCGCATAGATCTAGTTAATTTTTTATGAAATGGTAATGTTAATTTATAAATTTTATTAGATAATTGTATAATAATATATATCCTTTAATTTTTGTGGTTTAATTATCTTTTTTTTTTTTTAATTTTCTTTATGAAATTCTTGCTAAATTTGTAGATCTATTGGTTTTGATTTATTTGTGTGGTGTTTTTTCGATTTTATTGTCTCAATTTTCGTATTTTTGGGTTGATTTTCGATTATGGGTTATTTTCGGTTTTTTTTTTTGCTAAATTTTGTGTTTTTTGGGGTTTATTTTTGGAGTGGTGGTGTTTGAAGGTGGGAAGGGGCTAGGGTGGGTGTCGGTGGCGTTGTTTGAAGGTGGATTGGTGGCTGGTGTGGGTATTGGTGGTGTCGGTGGCGGTGTTTGAAGGTGGATTGGTGGCTGGTGTCGGTGTCGGTGGTGTTTGAAGGTGGGAAAACGGTTGCTGTGGGTGTTGGTGGTGATGTTTGAAGGTGGGAAAAGGGTGTGCAGTGGGGTCTGGTCGTCTGGTGGTGCAGGGTGGTTGCTGGTGATGTGGGCTGGTGGTGGGGTGGTGCGAGGCGTTTTTTTTTTAAAATAATTTTCCGACGGAATTTCCGTCGCAACATTCCGACAGAACTCGGTCCGTCGGAAACTTGCGACGGACTTTCTCGGGCCTGAAAATATTTTGTCGGAATAGTGTTTCCGACGGAATTTCCGTCGAAAAAAGCCCATTTTCCTACAAATAGTTTTCCGACAACTAGTTCCAACGGAATTCCATTGGAAACGAGTTTTCCGACGGAAAACAGGGTGTTTCCAACGGAAAATTTCCGTCGTTATTTAGCTGTTTTCTAGTAGTGAAGTGTGATTTTGGTTTGAAACTTTTCGAGAAGAAAGTTTGATATGGTCACCATCATTTGTCGGCGTCAACAAAGGTTTTGATAGTGTAACCATGGTAGTAGCGAAAGCAACAAAAGATGGATCAAAAGCGCATGATACCATGATAGAGTAATGATGAATATACACGAGTATATATAATGCAAGATTAGAACATTGAACATACCAAACTATGACTAGATACAATATGTGACTAGGTACGTTAGCTAATTACAAGAAATATACTTTGAATATCAAGGGATTTTTGTTTGTTGTAGGAGAACCTCGTTATCATAATTAGAACCTAATAATAATACTCTGTAATAATATGCTTGTAGGATCACACAAACGCAATAAGTTAACTCTCAGCCATAAAAGGAGCAAGTTCATTAACAGGTATATTCTTTGTCAAACATAAGTATCTTCTTTGCCATACATAAGTATGTTTTTTGTTAAACACGGTATATTTTTAATAAAACAACCGTATGTTTTTTCCGCCTCTTGGTGCACCATGTGGCCGGGTGTACTATCCTACAAGTTCATTTGAATTTCATTTTGTTGACTTTTGCACAACTCTTTCCTATAAAGTCGAATTTTGGCTCATTAAAGAAAGGATTTAGTTTGCGGGAATTCTTTTATCACTAATGATCATGATTCATGAAGATATGATAGTGAATACATTGTTGTTAATTGTTATCATAGTCTCAAAACACAGGCCTTATATCTGTAGGTTTATCTTCAATTTGTCTGTGTAACTGACCGAACGAAAAAAGTATCGAAAACAACCATGTTCTTGCTAATGTGCAAATTCAAAACCAAAATCAACTAATTTGAGTAGCATTAGAATATGCTCAATCAATAAAAAAAAAAAAAAAAAACCTAGAAGATTCAATTTGAGCATCTAATACTCGTAAACATCTCTAATTTGGTTTCAAAACTACTACTCCGTAGTCACATTGAAAAGGTATAATTTTGGACTAACCATTAACAGATGTAATCAATTTAAACATGAAATATCAGAAAATCCAGCAATGGGCAAAAATTAACAGACGAAAACAACTGATACAAATTTTTTAAAAAAAAAAATTAACATGAAAACTGAATTTTCATATAACAGCAAAAAAAAAATAATATCAAAAATAATATGAATAACGACTTAATTACATAAATCACTATATAATTTCATAATCAGAAACATGCAAAAATTCTGATCGAAAAAACAATACCTAAACAGAGCCAACAATGATATTGTTAATAGGGATGAAGATAAGCTTCACGAAAAACCCTACAAAACCCATCACAGCAAATCCAACCGCAGTACGCAACGCAACCTTGGAGAACTCTGAATAGAAAGAATTAAACAAACAACGTGAGCATAAAATTGGGCAAAAATCAAGATTATGAACCCTAATTGTTTGGAATTGTACCTTTGCTATCGGGCTTGTGGCATCTTTTAACAAGACGGATGCTATCCCTTGAGAATTCTCTGAGGGGGTCGATGACGGAATCCAAGGCATCCATTGTAGAAAGAGAGAGGAGATTCAAATTAAAATTTGAGACTAGATTTTGAATTTTGATATTTTTGAAATTGAGGCTCTGTTTGATTCACAGTTCAGTTCAGTAAAATCAATTTCAATTCAGTAAAAATAGTTTCAGTTCAATAAAAATAAGTTCAGTTCAGTAAAATTCAGTTTTCTTAAAGAAGAATTATAATAGAAAATCAGTAAAAATAATTTCAGTTCAGTAAAAATAATTTAAGTTCAGTAAAAATAATTTCAGTTCAATAAACTTATGTTCAGTTTAGTAAAAATAAGTTCAGTTTAGTAAAAATAATTTCAGTTCAGCAAAATTAAGGTGAATCAAACAGGGTCTCAGTGAACTATTTCGATTTTTGGATGATTTTTTTTTATTAATTTATACTACGTAGGAATTAGAAGACTGATACAAAACGGAAAAGGAGAACGCGTTTAATTGAAGTGATGTGGTCAAACTTGGCCACACAAGTAATTGAGGAATAGCTCGAATAAGGATATAGGATTATAGGTAATAGGTTAGGATAGGTTAGGATCTGTTTGTTTTATCGGACTTTTCTTAAATTTTTATTCAAATTTAACTAGCTTAGTATTTTATTTATTTATTTATTTATTATTTATTTTTAGTCCGGATTATTCTAGATCTAGGGTTTATTGTTATCTAAGCAAACTCTACTTATTATATTCTATATATATATATACCCCTGATATATGAAATAACATAGATATATCAATTCTCTCTCAATTCCTGATGTTTTCCTTTATTTTCACAACACGTTATCAGTACCAAAGCTCTAAATGATTAATAATTCTTTTGATTTCTATACATATACATAATTGCTTTACGATTTAATTGACAGTTTATCGTTATTTGGGTTTAGCAATATATTGTACTTCCTTCTTGATCTTTGTCTCGTCAATTGGATGTGGTCTCAAGCAAAAATATATGATAAATCATAATCAACACTACCCGGCTAAGGAGACGAGTTTAATTAATAGCAACTTTACAGGTATCCCTATATTCTTTTCTCCATATTTTATTGAATTTGTCAGATTATTGTCCTTCTTAAAATAAACTAATTATAGGGTATTATACTAGTTATGATGTGATTGATTAATTTATATACTCTGTTTTTGATGAAATGATATATGAAGTTCATTAGATATGGGATATTGCTATTGATTTGTTTCAGCTAAGTTGTCATATTTAAATATGTTTTACTATACTTTGAATGAACATTGACATACACCACAATTATCGTATAGAAAGTAATGCATGCAATATGAATAAAAAAATATATGATAACATACTAAACAAATTATACAATAAGTAATGCATCTAACAACTTCGAACATATGCAATGAATAATCCAATAACCTATGACTCACATATGCAAATGAGCATACATAAGACTCGAAATAATGCAAGACACTGTACAGTGTGGATTTTAAAAATCCATATTTCATTGGACTTCTGGTCCATAATAAACTTTAATTATTATCATTCTGTCGAAATTAAAGTGGACATAAATCCTAGATCCCTTATTCACTAGTCTATTATATTATGCATATGCATTATTTATTGGTTCCATCATATACCGGTATCATCATATAATTCCTCAAGGTACATTTTTAATTTGCATGCTATTTTGACAATGATATCTGAATACATTTTTCATTGGTACCCTCATAATTATTCTTTCATCATAGGCCATCTATTGTAATAATTTAGATATCTACACAACTTCAAGGGTATTTCATACACCTGGTATTAATATACTATTACACTATTAAAAGTGTCATAATATTTATCCAAATCTTACATGCTTGGATAGATCTTGAAATTATCTTTCCAATGATATATTATATTATTAATTCCGAGCTATAACGAAAAAGATATAAATGAGATACAAAACTCTATCCAAAACTGACACCCTTCCACTATTTCGGCCATATCTTTTTATATACAAAAGATTTTAATCTCATTCTAATTGGGTTGGAATTTAGTCTTCAAGAGCTTTCTAACGACATATTATATTCCTTATTTGGACTTCTGGATCAAAAGATATGATAAAAACATAATCCATAAAAAATGTCTTGCATCGCCAAACGACAGGTTTGTCGCTTGGCGACAGAGGCATGTTTTATTCCGTTTCAAACTATGATTTTTTTCTATCAATTCCAGACTATTTTCTTATAAATAGGGTCCCTGGACCTCCGTTTTCAATCATTAACTCTTAATCAGAATTCTCTAATTCTCTTCTCTCCCTTTGAGCTAAAGCTTATTCTCTCCCTCTTTCTAGCCTAGTGTAGACACCCATTTGTGTCTCCCCAAAACCAAACCCGGTGATAAGTACCTTTCACGTCAAAACATAATCGAATGAAATGAAAGTGTAGAAATTTTAGTGTTGCAGATAGTTTTAATTTCTTTTCTTTTCTCTCTGTTTTTTGAAAATCTATTTTGAGAAAATAGCCAATCCAGTTTCGTTGGTCCATGATATGGGCCCAATAATAGTGTAGTTGGATGGGGCTTGAAAAGAGCTTTCCAACGATACATTATAAGCCCAATTCCGATGAATATTGAGGAAGTTATGGCCAAATTACTAAACTGGGCCCGGTTTGAACATTATATGCGGCCCAATGATCTAGATGAGGGATTAATATGGATTTACCATTCCTAATGCAATTAGGATTGGTTTTAGTCTTTTAGATTCTTCTAGAAGGTTCTTTTCATTCCTAATTCAATTAGCATTGATAAATTGACTTTTGTTGATTTTTTAGAGTTTTAATCAGAATAAAAGAACGTTTTTTGAGGAAAATACGATTTTATCCTCATGTACGGTTGTAGACACCCAATTGTGTCTCCCCAAAACCAAACCCAGTGATGAATACCTTTCATGTCATTTGATTATCGAACGAAGCGAAACTGTGAAAAGTCTAGTGATGAGGATGTTTTTATTAAAATATCTCTTCTTTCTGTTTTTGAAAATATTTCTTTTCTTACCTTATTTATAAAAAAAGTGTATTCTAGTTTAGTTTGATCCATGATAAGGGTGCAATAATGGTGTAGTTGGATGGAGTTTGAAAATACCTTTCCAACGATACATTATAAGCCCAATTCCGATGAGTAATGAGGAAGTTATGACCAAAATACTAAACTGGGCCCGGTTTGGTTTTTATACGCGGCACAATGATCTAGAGGAGGGCCTATTATTAATTATCATTCCTAAATCTATTAGGATTGACTATAGTCTTCTAGAATAATCTAGAAGGTTCTTTTGAATCCTAATGGAGTTAGGATTGATAATTATGTTTCAAAGAGTTTGAAATTGAATAAAACTACTCCATTTTAGAATCCTTGTTTTGTACGAAGTGGAATATAGTCATATTTTATTTTCATGCCTCATAATATTTATCCAAATTTTATATGTTTGGATAGATCTTGAAATTATCTTTCCAATGATATATTATAATATTAAATCCGATTTATAACGAAAAAGATATGAATAAGATATGAAACTCTATCCAAAACTGACACCCTTCCACTATTTCGGCCATATCTTTTTATCTACAAAAGATTTTAATCTGATTCTAATTGGGTTGGAAAGTAGACTTCAAGAGCTTTTCAACGACATATTATATGCCTTATTTGAACTTCCCGGATCAAAAGATATGATTAAAACAAAAACGCGTGAAACTGATTATTAGCGCATGGCGCTAATGACCAGCGTATGGCGCTAATCAAGTTTTATTCTCGTTGAAACTATGATTCGTTTTTTTATCCATTTGACTGATTTTTTCTATAAATAGTCTCTTAAAATTTTGTTTTCAATCATCAATTCTCTAATTCTCTCTCTCACCAACTCTCATCAAGAATCTCTTGATTACTCTCTTTCTCTCTTTCATTCTAAGCCTAGCTTTTTACAAACACAATTCCTCATACATTAGCACTAGACATACCTAGCATTGTTCGAAGTTGCATTCGCCCTAGACGTGAAAGGTTTGATTTCTGAGGGTTTGGTCCCAAATCTCTCTTTCAATTATTTAATTTAATTGTTTGATTATTATATTCCTTGAAGTTACTAACGTGTGTATTTTGTTATTAGAAAGAGGTACGAGACATCAAAGTAAGTACTTTATGGTTTTTATTGATATTATGATGTAGAAATCATGTTTAAGTTGTTATGATTCCTAGTGTTATGTTAGGGCGTTTTGATCTTCCTAGTATCATGTCTAGGGTAACTTTAATATCAAGTATGATTAAAAGTATGATGCCTTTTATGTTCTTCCTAATATTTATGATTGTTAGTATCATGTTAGGGATAAATATTTGATCTTTATTGTTTAGTGACATGCTAGGGTTTGTTATTAATCTTGTTAGTATCATGCCTAGGATCTTGCTATTGTTATGCTTTAACATGATTATTATTTTTATAATAATTATTATTATTTTTGTTGCTTGATGATTATAATTATTATTATTTAGATTTATTATGTTTCTTAATGCTTTTTTATTTGTTATTGCTTGATCACACCTTTTATGCATGTTTAAAGGGAATTGGTACTTGTAATCACGCTTAATAAGATAATTAATAATCTTGTTAGGGTTAATTTGATTATAATTCAAGTGATCGCCAACAATAGTTTTATTTATGCATTAATATTCAATCAACATAGATAAACAAGTTTAGGGTTAAACCTATTGATTGCATGTTAGTAAAAAAGCGCACATAAATACGATCAAAATAAAGTAGAGGCCTATTATTAGGGCAGGTTCAATCTCTTTTAGATTGGATTTGTAACTTCATCCCCGAACTACCATTCATGGTTCAAGACCTATTGGAGTTGACGATCTCCTGGATTGTTAAGGGGTGTAACCTTCACCCTGTGAACGGTTTACAAGTTCCTAAAACTTGTTTGCAACTCTTTTGCTCTATTTTCCTTCCCTTTGGACGCCACCGTACTTTAGTGTATGATCACAACGGGGTTCAAGCTAAGGGTAATGCTTGAAATATTCCCTACAACAGTTAATTTCTATCAGATTTTAGAAAACGCGTCAAAAACTTAATTAGCGCTTGTAGACA